CCTCAATCCACCATTTCTAACTCCTACACCAGGAACACAGTAGAATAGACATTTGACATTGTTGTACCCAATTGCTTTAACCTCATCCATCAGTCTTTCTATATTCAGATCATCTTTGTCCATAAATCTGACATCAGATCTACCACCAACATAATCTTCAACCTAGCCAAACGAGAAATTGCCTCCATGTCTGATTTTAGCCAAGATTTGGACACCCATCTACAATATCACCATAAAAACCCTAATTTCAACCATGCATTTCAACCTATCAAATCTACCCTAATTAAATTCAAAGATATCAAATTTGCACTCACCTTTTCCGCCGCGCCAAAGACGATAATGGAGATGGAAGCTATTCACTTATATCGTCTGCAAATTGGGGAAGTTGACAGCTATGGGGATCATCATGCTCTGGGGTTTAGGGGAAGAGAGGGGAATCAGAGAATGAGAGGGATTATTTTTTCTGGAGTTTTCTACAGAAGACCATCGATTCCTTCTCGCTTAATACCGTCACGTCAGAGTCCACACTGGAGTCCACGTCGGAGTCACGCGATCCGTCAGGTGAGAAAATTGGCCGGAAAAATCAATCCGGCCAAACTTAAGGGGTATATGACGACGGAGGCTACATAATATACCAATTTGACAAAAGTTAAAAAATTTATACCATTTTGTCACCTAGTGTTTACAAAATATGCCAATCTGATCATTTTGCCCATGCAAGCAAACCTTACTTATATTTGAATGTACTTATTTTATAAAGTTCCACATTCAACAAGACTTTAAATTACTTGCCCCAAATAGAAGTTGTACCAACCACATGGACTTATTCCAAATTGGATTTTTCTCGATTTCTCATGCTTGACATCATGCATATGGATCTTCACCGTGTTGCCTAAAGGAGACAAAGGAACTATACAATATAATTCTAAACTCCAACTTAGAAGTATTTCCATGTATTTTTCTACTCCATAAGGGTACAGGGCCGGCCTGACACACCTTCAGTTTTTATTTCTATTTTTTTTTTCCCATATATAATATATTTTTTGCTTATGAAACATTAATTTAAAATAGTTACTTCCTACAAAAATAAAATATACATCCCCTTTGCATGTTCGATCCTCACAAAGCCTGCTTTGCAAGTTAAAATTTAGGATAATTATAATATAGGTCTTTTGTTGACCAAATCAACAGCAACCACAAAGAATTCTTCACCAAATCAACACCAAACGCACAAAATTCGTCAGCAAGGTCACCTCAGTCCTACTCCCACACCTTCTACACGTAAATAGCTCACCAACTCTCAAGCAGTTTTGTACTCGTGAATCATGATGAAGTAATCTCTACTCTACTAATGATTCCCGACTCATTCAAAACCCTAATCGCAATGCAAGCTGAAAGCAAGCCGATGACCTCTTTTTTCGTTTGCTTAAGAAATTAGTTATCAATGGAATTCAATCCTAGATTACTCTGATATTATTTTAAAATCCCAACACTAATACACGAAAACTCCTAAATAGCGGTCAAGGTTGAGGGTCATAGATATGGGTGGAAACGAAGCGAATTCGAATTCGAATACCCCATTATTAGTATTCGTATTCAATTTGTATGTGACTAATCGAATTCGTATTTGAATTCGAAATGAATAGACAACCAGCATTTGCTTTTGATTAGGATAATATTCGAATACTCGATGACTATTCGCGAATATTCATTAAGAGTATTTGGATAGTTTTTGTAAATTGTTTGGTAGATATTCTGCAAGTATTCATTATCCTAGTCTTGCAATAATGCCAAATATGATATACCTGAGGAATATGCAACCTACTGATATATAATACTTTCAAATAAAATAAATTATTGATCCACATTGCAAGCAGAAAAATGAAATTTTAATGACTAATATGTATAAACGAATAGTTTGTTAAACAAATGAATCAAATATACCTATAGTTAAATTATATTCGTTTATGAACCGGATAATAAAATCTATTCGTTTATTATTAAATGAACTATCGAATTGAATATGACTGAATACTTGAACGAATAAATATCAAATTATTTCTTAAATATTTGGTTCGTTTCCACCACCTCTAGCCATAATTTTATTTTCTAAGACAGAAGGCAACAACTGAAGGGCAAAGGCATCTGTTAGAGGTGGTGTCAAGTAACACCACGCTCTTAGGTGAAAACAATGTAATATACACTAGATTATTATCAAATAGTGACACCATTATAAAAGCAATTATTAAGTGTTGTGTATCTAATTCATATATTTTTAAGAAATATCGTGTATCCAATTACAACATATTCCATGTAGAGATTGTTTTCTACAATAAAAATGGTAAAGAATTGTCTATGAAATCAAATGGGAGATTAATGGGTGAATGATAGCATAGCAATTTTTATTGGAAATGGGTGTAGTTAGTGGTATTTCGAATAAGGCTAATCTCAAAACATGAAGACACGTGAGGGCCATTGTAATTACACTTTGTTGAAGACATCTTTCAAATCTGATTAAATTTTCTAGTAATATTTTATATATAAGAGAAAAACTAGTAATATTGTTTTTTTTATATATACTATGATACCACTGTTAAAAATTTCTGGCCACGCCACTGCAACAACTCAGTCTAGATGGAGACACTAGAGGGCTAGTGAAATTTCTATTTCTTGTCAGTCAGACTTTCGGTTTTTGTCTTTAACATCGGGTCTCACGTGGATTTGTACTCAACGTTATTCTTAAAATAAGCATCATTGTGGAAATAGTAATTGTTAGAAAGCAAAAAAGTTCAATGAAGGTCATTTACGTATTAGTCAAATATCATCCAAGTCCCTTAAGATTGAAAGCTATTAGCGAAAATTCCTTACATTACCTCCATCACTAGCCCGAGTCCTTTTTAATTTTTTTTTGATAAATATTGTTGACGTGTGGGTGACGTGGTAGGAAAAACTTAATATTCTTTCACTATTTTTTGCTGGCTGGGACACGCAGCTCTCTTTTTGCTAATGATTTGGGAGAAAATAAAAGGTGTTTCTCACTTGATCAGCAAGCAAAGAGAGGAAGGGCGTCCGGTAAAAAAAAAAAGTGAAATTTATTGAAAGTTTGTCATGTCACTACTATGTCAGTAAAATTTAGTGGACATTTGAGAAAATGACCTAGCTTGATGACGGATGTAACATTAGGGAATAACTTCTAAACTTAAATGACAATACATTAGGAGTTTATATTGAAGTTTTGCCCTGTTAGAATATAAAATTAAACCCTCAATTCCCACCGCAACTTCGCAGTATTATTGTAATGGCAGAGTTCTTTACATGGTATCAGAGAAACTCAGGTCTTAATCTTACTAGCTATAAATTTCTAAGGGGGTTTAAAAAACTGTTGCAGATTGACCCCTGAGCGAAAAGTTTATGACCATTTTAAAGGGATCTATCTACAACAATAGTTTTTTTTTTCTTCCACTCAAAGAGTCTACATGCAAAAATAGAACTCTTTCAAGATGTCTGAACGTAACGGCAGAGTAAGTTCAATTTATCGATGGTACAAGTGATATATCCACAATTATAACCCTATGCTATATTGATATTACCAAAAGGGGACAAGTTTATGTTGTCAATTTCTATGTTGGATCTACTTAAAAGTATATTGATAAACATTAACAATCTGCGTCAAATGATTAAATCAAAGCAAAGAAAGCATTAAAGAAATGGCAACTATCCAAACCCTGGCTTATTTTCTTATGAGATTGTGGGTAATGAAAGGATTAGGATGGAGAGACCATTGTCTGATCTTTTCCTAGAAACATGGGATGCAAGCTGGAAGAACATAGGATCACTACAACGTGAAGTGCAACTCAACCATATGTACAGTGTATGGACTGACAAACTTGGAACAACCTTTTAAAAAAAGGAAAATATTGAGATTAGTGAAGCTATAAGGAAAAGAAATCTGCAAATTAGTCCGTTGTAGCTAAAATTATAATTAGTCCGGGGTTATAACAATCAACCAAAGGAATTGTAAGAGGAAGTTGTGAGTATTCTAGAAATTTTAAAATGTTTAAAGATTAGATAAGAGCTTAGAAATGGTATGTGAAGATGTGATGAGAGGGGGAAATCAGTAGCTATTCTGTTTCGTATAGTTCAAGTGGGCTTTTTTACCTACATCTCCCAAGGAAACAAAAATTAGCAGGCAACTGCATAATTGTAGTAATTTTTTTTTCTTCATATGTTTCATATATTTCAGATGGAAGCGGAATCCCAATTCAATTATCATAGTTGTTTGGCAAATAAAATTAGAATATGCTCATTCTGGACGACAAAAATGATGTTGGTTGCTTGGTTTATTCATTGACGCCAGAAACAATGCTGACATGGAAAAAATGTGTCTCATCTTAGCTAGGTGCAAGGAAGCGGTGAGATCTCCCTACAATAAAACAAAACATTTTCAATGCCATGTGATCTAGTAGATCATGATACATAATAATAATTTCATAGGTCAACGGAACAAGTATTTAACACGCTTGACTGACGATTTAATTGATTAACAAAACAATGTTTAATAACACTGCAGAGGCCCTCTGATGCATTTCTAAAAGAAGCCATTTCAAACACACACACAAACACACGTGCAAATCTCGCGTTGCTCGTGGGCGCGCACATGCACCCGCACAAAACACAAGCAGTTACATGAGAGTTTATGCAATTTAGCTTAAAGATTGAAACAATAATTGTTCAAGTGCTGTTCTGTCTCATATTTGCTATATGAGATTTATCATATTCAGAGCTACACCATGATGATTGTGGCAATATGCTTTATCTACAGCTAACGGTTTCTTATGGAATGTAACTCTGCTGATCCAAGTGCTTCTCTTGTGATTAATCCTCGTAGCTTCCTACTGATTCATTACATTACACATTGATGCAACCTGCTTCTGCTTACGGTTTACATCTTTTTCTCCTTTTAGCTTCCTATTTTTATCTCAAAGGGCAATTGTTCGCGGTTAAACAAAGAACATAAGAACTCAATATTTCACCACAATGCTGTTGTAAACGTTTGTACTACAGACAACAAGCTGATCACCTGATAGTTTACATTGACAGTTTACGGAAAACTTAAAAGAAATGCACAACATCACCTAAACCCCAACCACTAGATGAAAACATAGAAAACAGGGAGATAACCCGAGAGGAGGGGGGGAAATGTGATGCTCGAGGACAAAAATACGAAATGTTCACTTAATCGCATGGAAAGATGGCAGGACAGCGACGAGAGGGTCCCCATAGCCAACTGCTTCTGCAAATAGCAAAAAAGAATCATCAGTTAGTGCTAAATACGTAAGTTATCTGCTGTTGTTTGAAAAGCAAAAAGTTCGTAGAAACCATGGTTACACTAAGAAAGTATCTACGAAACCAAAGCTACAATATAATAGTGAAAAAACACGGAGAAAGGAGAAAACAAGAAAGTAGGAACAAGCTCTACTTCAGAAGAAAAATCAACATGACACCTAACTGCTTGGCGTAACCTCAAAATTTTCAATTTGGTGAGAAATCAACTACCAGCATAATGTTTCCACATATAGAGTTTCAATTTGGGGACAAATTACCTACCAGCACAATTCTACATACAGTTTTTTATCATGAGTGCCACATGCTATCTTAGCTATTTCACAGATTATGGTTTTGAAACAGTCAACAGAATAGCTTGTATTCAGGTATAGTGGAGGCAAATAATCTTCTTAACGGGTTAAATATTTACTCTAAGCCTCCTAAAATGGGGCACATACTGCTAACTTTATCTGACTCAAAAAACTTTAGAGATGTTCAGAAAGAGTTGTGGTTGGGGCCTAAACGCATTAACACCTTTTTTTTTCACGAATGATTGTTTTTTTCCATGAGTTCTCAAATCACTTAAAGGTCTAAACTATGTTCGAGATGGCACAATATTAGGGGGTGTTTGTTTCAACTTTTTTTTGGGATACAGTGTGGATTATAAATTCTAGGATGAAAAAGTGTTTTTTTTTTGAGTTTATGGATTCCATAACCTTTGTTTGATTCAAAATAAATTTTGGGATAGTGAATACCCAAATAATAAAAAACTAATATATTATAGCATTTGTGAAATCCCCTCTTTGAAAGAGGATTTAGGTAAGATTTCAAATTCTAAAATTTATAATGCTACGATTTGAGTTATAGGATTACATATTCCAAAATATTGATGAAACAAACAACATTTTAGAAATCCCAAACCCATGTTAAAAAAACCTAAGGATTTCAAATCCCATGGTGAAATCCATATCCTAAAATTATAGGATTTGAAATAAACACCCCCTTAATATGGCATGCTCGTTACACTCACTTTTGTCTCAGTCTCCATTATATCCCATGTAAAAATGGGATAGCATACAAGATCATTTGGAAATGCAGGACAGAGACTAATCTTGTTGCCACAAAAAGCAGGCTCCGGGGTAAATAGTGATTGTACAGCTTAATCAAGTAAGCAGGCCTAAACAGTAAAGAGTGGTAGCTGAAGGGCGGGTTATATGAGAAATGATGGCAGGTTATAACAATGGAAATAACAGCGTGGGGAATTTGGATCCATGAATTTAGGAGCTTAAACACATGCATCAAAACGGTCACAGAAGATGCACGTAATATATGTGATATATAGGCATGGACATGTGACATAGCGAACCTAAGCAATGCTCACTAGTAATGTGCATACAAAACTCTACTAGAATTCCACATTAAATATTACCTCCATCTTTGAAGAGGAGCTTCAGGACTTCTCCAGCAGCATCCGACTGTATAAAATTATATTACAGAATGAAAAATGTATTGGTGTTAGAATAGATATAAGTAGGTGAAAGGAAAAGGAGGCTCACCTTAATCGGAAGCTCATTACCAAACTGATCTAGGTATCCAATGACCTGTCCTTCTTTGATCATGTCACCCTGGGACATGTTTTACATAACCATGCAGGATGAAAAGAAGAGATTGGAGATAAATCACCAAAACTATATTTTTCGTTTATGTCCTACATACCTCTTTACAGCTTGGAGGTTGTTTTTTGCCTTTCAGTGTTCTTCCTCTTCTGAATGTACCAACCTGTACATTTGCGAGAGTAAACCTCTTCAGAAGTTAATAGCTGAAAGGAATTTAACAAGACAAGATGCTTTAGTCCATACCGTAGGAGATGAAACCAGAACATAAGATTTTGCACCAGAAGCCTCTAGAGATGCAAGCTTGGATGCTTTTGAAGATAAGATGTTTGCAAATGGACTGCTGGATGTGGAAGCAGATTTCTGTGGCACAACTGGCTGGATAGAAGGAGCTGATTCAGTCATTGGCTCACTTGGGATCGGTGGTGCTGTTGTGGGTGATTCAATACCAGGTGCACCAGAAATTTGAGCTATAGTGTTTCCTATGTCTCTTTTCAGATGCATTTCAAAACTGCCAACCTGAAATATATATGAATCTTTTACTAAATAAGTAAATATACTATGCATGAACAGAGAAAAATGCCCAAACTCAAGTTATCACTTATCACTGTTAACCAGTAAGTTCCACCTAACGGTATCAGCAAGTCAACAAATATATTTTGACCATATCCAGATTAAAATAAAGACTATATATTAACTGATTGAGGGCGAGCAATATGCAGCATTTAATGTCAAAAGAACAAACAACAATAACATTTAACTTTGCATTGACCATCAACTGTTAAGAGTTGTTCTGACTGGCATCGATACAGGTTTCTTAGCCTATGCTGCGCAATTTAAAACCTATGAGTGACTAACAAAATGAAAACATAACTCAACTGAGACAAGCAACATAAACTCGTTGCGTGACATGCACCAGTATGTGAGTAATTGGTGCATGCTACATTGTTTATATGTATGGTCATTAGGTAATTCAAGTTAAAAATAATAATTTATGAAAAATGCAGATACTAGTAAAATGACTCTGAAAAGTGGTAGCCAACCCCAAAATTTTGTACAAAGGCTCTGTTGTTGTTGAATAATAAAGAGAGACCACCTATGCAAGTATATATATAAACATGCCACCGGTGCATCCAAAAGCCAAGATACATTTCTACTAATGTAAAACATTCAACACTGACAAATATGCTAAAATTTTAGGATATCATATATCTCCATATCTTTGTAAAAGAAATAGGCCATGGTTTTCATCTTTCTATGGAATAGCTCAAAGTGACTTTTTTCCCCTTTGGATATGTTCACGTGAACCATTTTTAATCTTGGTGCATATATGCTTAAATGTTTTACCTGACTAATCTTTCAGTGGAAAATACAAAAGGAATGTCCTAAAGCATACAAAGCAAATCAAATCATTGTAGAACTATATTGCAGAGCAGTTAGGATTCAACTATGAAGTTAACATTCACCTATGACATTAGCAAACAAAATTTGAGAACTCAAATGACATAAAACGGATGTTCAGGTATGACAGAAATTGCATCCTACTTATGATAGCTGTCAATATTTGGAGAGAAAAGATATTATTGGAGAGTTATCCCCTCACTCTATAGTTTATTATATATAGAGATGGATTAGTTACAAGTTAGTCTCACAGGCAATGTGTGACTAAACCAATCTAAACTAATACTCTCTTCTAACACTCCCCCTCAAGCTGGAGCATATATATCATGCATGCCCAACTTGTCACAAATAAAGTCAACCCATGTTCGACCAAGTGGTTTTGTAAGAATGTATGCCAACTGATCTACTGTCGATACATGTTTTGTCGTGGTGATTTTATCCTCGAGCTTCTTACGGACTACATGACAGTCGACTTCAATGTACTTGGTTCTTTCATGAAACACGAGATTCTCAGCAATGTGAATTGTTGCTTTATTGTCGTCATATAGATCCATGGAACATTCAGGAGGGAGACCAATTTCTGTCAATAGGTCTCTGATTCAAACCATCTCTAATGTCATATTTGTCATAGCTCTATATTCTGATTCTGCACTGGATCGAGACACAACACTTTGCTTCTTACTTTTTCATGACACCAGATTTCCTCCGAGAAAGACATAATATCTAGTAGTCGATCTCCTATCAAAAGGACATCCAGCCCAATCTGCATCAGAGAAGCCTGCAACTCTGGTGTGTCCTTGATCTGAGTAGAGAATTTCTTGTCCTAGAACCTTCTTCAAGTATCTCAAAATTCTCATTACTACATCCAATTGAGTAGTTCTTGGTGTAGATAAGAACTGACTCACAACACTGATTGCGAATGTGATGTCAAGTCTGATCATCGTCAGATAATTCAAATTTTCCAGCAATCTCCTATATTGCCCAATATCTTCAAAAACCTCCCCCTGTTCTGGTAGTAGTTTTGAGTTCACATTCATTGGAGAATCACTGTTTCTGCATCCTAGCATCCCGACTTTTGAGAGCATATCCAGGACGTACTTCCTTTGTGACAGAAGAATACCCATCATTGACTTTGCGACTTCAATGCCTAGGAAGTATTTTAGGGAACCAAGATCTTTGGTTTGGAAATGTGTCTGTAAATGCTTCTTCAGTCTGTTAATATCAAAAGCATCATCCCCTGTAATTACAATGTCATCTACATACACGAGCAGAATTCGTTTCCTATTTTAAAATCGCCAGAAGATAGAGATCTTTCTATATACGACAAAGTCCAAATTCCTGAATAACCGATGCAAAATGTCCAAACCAGGCTCTCGGAGATTACTTCAGACCATAAAGTGATTTTTTCAGCCTACACACATTCTCATTTTCCCCCTGAGCAACAAAACCTGGTGGTTGCTCCATGTAAACCTCTTCATCTAGAATACCATTAAGAAATGCATTCTTGATGTCCAACTGATGAAGTGGCCAGTGATTTGTCGCTGCTAATGAAATAAAAATCCGAACAGATGTCATTTTTGCTACTGGAGAGAAGGTATCTACACCTGTGAATAGCCTTTAGCAACCAGTCGGACTTTCAGGCGTGTTAAAGTTCTATCAGGATTTAACTTGACAGAGTACACCCACTTGCAACCTACGGGCCGCTTTCCTGGTGAAAGTGGGACCAAATCCCAAGTCTCATTCTGTCACGAGGCCCTTATTTTGTCTTACATCGCTTAGTTCCAACCTGGAACAGACAGGGCTTCTGACACATCTTGAGAACTAAATATGAGTCGAGGGAAGTAACAAAAGATCGAAAGGTAGAGGAGAGGTGATCATAGGAGACAAAGTTAGAAATAGGATGTTGAATACAAGTTCGTGTCCCTTTTTAAAGTACAATAGGAAGGTCGTCCGAAAAAGAGGGTAAATGTGCACTTACGGATTCAGGTTCTTCAGGCAGAGGACGTGGTGCTGAGACCGACGTTAGCATAGGAGCAGGAGCAGAACGATAATGATAAACTTGAATTGGATCGTTAAACCGAACTGAGTTTTTACCAGTAACGCAAATAGTATAGTTAGTGGATGAATCACCACCGGTAATCAGTGACTCTTATAGGGTCAAATAGTCATACTCATCCGGTGATAATGGAGATGGAGAACTAGAATGACCAGGTTTATCTTTGAAGAAGGTTACATCAGCAGATAACACAAGACAATTGAGTGACGGACATAAACAATTGTAACCTTTACGCTTTCGGAAATAGCCAAGAAAAATGTCTTTAATAGACCGAGAGCCAAATTTTTATTTATTTGCACTGTGATTATGAACAAAACATAGAGAGCCAAAAATCTTTGGAGGAAGCGAAAAGAGATCATCGTTGGGGTATAGAATGTTGAAAAAAATTTTATCTTGCAAAACAGACGAAGGCATTCGATTAATCAAGTAACATGCTGTTAAGATAGCTTCCCCCCAAAATTCTTTAGGATCGTGACGATGGAACATCAATGTCCGAGCAATATCGAGGAGATGTCTATTCTTTCGTTCAACAACTCCATTTTGCTGAGTGTAAACACACGAAAACTGATGGATAATCTCATGTTGTTTAAGAAAACTAGTGAAGTTGCTATCCAAATATTCCTTTGCATTTTCAGATCGAATTTTTTTTATCGAATACTTGAATTGATGGACTATTTCAGAATAAAAAAAGTTTAAATGTGGAAAAGATTTCAGACCTAGATTTGAAAAGATAAATCCAGGTAATATGAGAGTGATCATCCACAAAACTGATAAAATACCGAAACCCCAATTTAGAAGTTATTGGGCATTGGCCCCCATATATTAGAATGAACAAGATCAAATGACTTAGCAGTTCTTTTATTGACTCGATTAGGATAAGACACGATAGTGTTTGCTAAGTTGACACGACTCACACTCTAATGAGGAAAGAGATTTGAACCAGGGATTAAGCAACTTGAGAATAGAGAGAGGGATGTCCTAGCTGACAGTGGTATTGTAGGGCTGATAAGTTGCTGATACATGTCAAATGTTTGGCGCCCAATTCCAATTTATAATGGTTGTTCTGCTCACGCCTTGTCCCAATCGTTTTTCTCGTGATCAGGTCCTGAAAGATACAATGTATGGAGAAGAATGTCACTGTACAGTTTAGAAATTTAGTGATCTTACTAACAGATAAAATGTTATAAGGAAAGATAGGAAGATAGAATACAGAGAAAAAAGAAAGACTAGGAGTAGGACTAGTGTTGCCGATACCCTGAACAGGTGTACGTGAACCATCAGCTAATATAATTGAATTAGATGTAGGACAAGATATCTTGATTCCCAGTCATATGATCAGTGGCACCATATCTATAATCCAAGTATTAGACGAAGATGATGTAAGTAAAGATGAAAAGGTACCTGCACTTTTGAGAGTAACAGATAAGGAGGAAGACGATGTTTGTGAATTCTGGTACTGCTGAAATAATTAAAGTTACTGAAATTAACACCGCAATTCCACATAATGAAAAACTGACTGTAGTTGATTTTAACTATCAGATGAGGTGAAGTTGTCCTGAGCGATCATGTAAGCACCATTGACCTTCTCATTTTTTAATTCAGGATAATTATATTTGAGATGTCTTGACTGGTGACAGTAGTTACAAGTCTTCACCGAGTCATTGCCATGAGTATGTCTGCCTTGAGATGGACCTCCACGGCTACCTCATTGACCACCTTAGCTCCCAGAACGATCAGTGTGGTAACCTCCTCTCCCTTCAAAGTTGTCTCTACCTCTTCCAAGACCACCATTATGATCACCTCGTCCATAAGATTGCGAACTCTGAGTGGCAAGCGTAGAGCGATCCGCAGTGGATGTCATTGTTTTAAATATCGGCTGATAATCGATATTATCGGCCGAGTTATCGGATTTGAGAGCTCTCCGCTAGGATAAATTGAATTTTTAATCGGTTATCGTTTTTGTAGGTTTATCAGCGATTTATCGGCGTTATCGGCACTTATCGGCCGATAAGTAAGACTTTTTTATCGGGATTATCGGCCCATTTTGACTAACATTATATTTTTTCAAGGCTATGATGCAAGCTTCGCTTTCTACAATTTGTTAGTGATTCTAAACATGATGATTTACATTTTGGTATGTTTATATTTTATTAAGCATGATTAGATTATATTTTTTAATTGTTATATTATATATACACATCATCCAGTATATCACTCCGATAAATACTACTTATCCCCGATATATCCCCGATTTTCGCTATCCGATAAGGATTTTGGTCGTCCGATAAATCCCCGATAACCGATATTTAAAACCTTGGTGGATGTAAGTGACTGTGCAGGGACAACGTTCTTCAAAAAATGATAAGTCTCAACTAGAGAACTAATGACAGAGCTCCCCATGATTTGCAGTCGAACAGAGGGGTAAATGGAATCTATGGTACCCAAGTAGGTGAGTACCATAAGTTTGTTCCATTAGTTCTGCATTTGTTTTACATCCCCAGTAATACAAAGAATCTGACAAAATTCCTTAGCTAGACGATTGAACTCACCATAATGATCATCCATGGGTTTGCCATCTTGTTTCTTACGAAACAGCTTTTGAATTACTTCATATGCCCGATTAATATTGCTGCTACCCCCGTAGAGATCTTGTAAGAAACAACAATGTTCCTTCACTGTCATACAATAAAGAACTAAATCCTAAATTTTAGGTTCCATGGTATTAAGAATTTGATGCAAGAAGATACTATCATCCAGTGTCCAAGATTCCGGTGTCGGAATAAGAGGGTCCGTCAACAAGTGACCAGTTTTGTCTCGGTCTGCCACGTAAATTTTAATAACATGCTTTCATTGGAAATAATTAATTCCATCAAGCTTCCGGTCAGTGATTCTACAAGAAAATATTTTTGAAACTTTCGTCTGGACCGTTAACTCAAAATTCTTGAGTTCCTCAGATCAGGCCATCATGAAATAGACGAGTAGAGTTCAAGACGATTTCCTCCATAAATTGTACTTCAAAAATAGACATAATCAAAACACGTCCAAGTTCAAGATAATAATTCTTGAATTAGCCAGTAGGCTGAACAAGTCCAAGAACCCGAAGGTTTAATTTTGAACCTGAAGGTTAAAGTGCAAGAACCCGGACATATTCTAAAACCCCAACACACCAAATTTGGGGTGAACCCGTCGTGGTTTGACCCTCCGTCGAGCCATGTAAAAAGTTCTATTCATTCAAAACCGTTAAAATTGATATGATTGGATGAAGGGTCAAACCACGACGGGTTCACCCCAAATTTGGTGTGTTAGGATTTTAGAATATATAGATCAAGTTCAACGGAACGGATCATCCACAATGTAGCTCAATCAAGTGATCATCAATGACTAAGAAACTTAGTGGACGTCCACTTAAGTTGACATAAGTTATATATATATATATATATGAGGTTTTTAGTTTTTAGGCTAAGGAGGTTTTTATTAGAATCTCTCCCTATATATATATAGAGAGAGAGAGAAAGAGAGAGAAGTTTTCGGATGCGAAAAGAATTTCGCACAGCAACAGTGCGAAAAGGATTTTTGACCGTTGGATTTCCGTGAATAACAGCTGGCCATTGGATCTTTGTTTTCATCCCCAATTCCCAAGTCCCGTACCCTCATCCTCTCTCTCCCCCGTACCCTCCAGAAAAGGATCCCTCTCCAGAACCCAATCCATCCCTCTCCCTCCCCAGATCACTCTCATCTCTCCTCCATTGGGGATCGCCGTCGAGCTCCTCTCCGCCTTCATCCCTCCTCCGCGATGAGTTCGTCGAGCTCGCCAAACCCTCTACCCTCTCCCTCCGACCAACTACGACTACGACTCCGACTCTGACCTCATCCTCCGCTCCCTCTCATATCGCCGCCAGCTCGCCGCCAGTCTTCACCCTCGTCGGAGCCAAACCCGCGAGCCCCGTCGCCGCCAGTCTTCATATTAGTCGGAGCTAAGCCCGCGAGCCCCCACTTCGGGTCTGCCTCCACTTCGGGTTTTCGCAGGTTTGATGCGAAGCAGATCCCTGGGCGATGAGTTCTTACCTTCATAGCTCGGTTTATTGGTTGGGAATTTCGCTCTCACTGTCGCCACCCTTGTCAACTTACTATATTCAACTCTTATTTGATTACATTCGATTTATTGGTAAAAATCAAATCAAGATAAAACTCTCTTGTTATGCTTTGACACTATGGTTTATGTCGAATCACAATCATCATAAGATTGATGTTCTGCATCACTAAAACACGTACATCCTTGTGATTTTCGGTGGTTACACTATTTGTAATGCTAGCTTTGCCCTTGCGGTAACTCTGGATCCCTGTATGATAATTGCACTAACAATAAACTTGAATCATATAAAGTAGAATCTAGAGCAGGGTGAAATATGGAAGCTCAGAAACGTGAAGTGCTGGTCACGAGGTATATAACCAGCCATAAGCAGTTGTACCAACGCAAATGAATCATCCCCACAAAACACCAACATTCCAACAAACAGACGCATAATAATCAACAGCGTATAAACGAAAAATTATGAACATTCTAACCACGCATAATAATCTCACTAGCAACTATGCGATGAAACCAGAACCATATGGTTATATTTTTACGTTAAAGATGTTTAGATGAATAAACCACAACACAGACATTTTTTGCAAACCTCGAATTGAATGAGAAGGTAGCACTGATAGCAAGCAGGTTACCCTGTTTCGGGGTGTCCAAAATCATTTGAGCAGGACATTTGAAGAGCAAAGTTATCAACTGATTGCTTATTTTGAAATTTTGTATATTAAAATGTAAATTTGCGAGCTTGACTTATGAAGTTATCAACTGATTGCTTATTTTGAAATTTTGTATATTAAAATGTAAATTTGCGAGCTTGACTTATGATGTATCTAAATCATTATACAGAATGGGCGTGCGCTTAACGCCAGCAAAAGTTAGTATACAGCAGAATTTGTTGGTATTGAGATCAAAATCTTAAAACAATCCCCAACATTTGTTTCATTATATACAAAAGTTCTACAGATGGGCGTGCGCTTAACGCCAGCAAGCTAAACAACACAGAGAAATCCCAATAGAACACATCCCATTTCCTCGATCTGCTCTATAAAATTTCCTCGATCAACATTTCCTCGATCTTGGCTCCGACTAATATGAAGACTGGCGGCGACGGGGCTCGCGGGTTTGGCTCCGACGAGGGTGAAGACTGGCGGCGAGCTGGCGGCGATATGAGAGGGAGCGGAGGATGAGGTCAGAGTCGGAGTCGTAGTCGTAGTTGGTCGGAGGGAGAGGGTAGAGGGTTTGGCGAGCTCGACGAACTCATCGCGGAGGAGGGATGAAGGCGGAGAGGAGCTCGACGGCGATCCCCAATGGAGGAGAGATGAGAGTGATCTGGGGAGGGAGAGGGATGGATTGGGTTCTGGAGAGGGATCCTTTTCTGGAGGGTACGGGGGAGAGAGAGGATGAGTGTACGGGACTTGGGAATTAGGGATGAAAACAAAGATCCAATGGCCAGCTGTTATTCCCGGAAATCCAACGGTCAAAAATCCTTTTCGCACTGTTGCTGTGCGAAATTCTTTTCGCATCCGAAAACTTTTATATATATATATATTACTTATTATATTTATACTATATATATATATATATATATATAATTTTATTTATTTATTTATTATTATTATTATTATTATTATTATTTAGAGTTCAACTGTCAGATCTGGACGAAGTAGGGCCACGAAACTGGCAGTTTACCGGGTAGCATGTGGCGAGGGGCAGCAGTGACAAGGTCAATCTGGACGAAGACGAAGGTCGATACGGCATCGGGATCTTCGCGAAGAATGACGGGCAGCGGCGGATCTAGACGAAATTGACAAGAAAGCGGCCGACAGATTTGGACGGTGACGAGAAACTGCGGTGCGATCTGGACGAAGGCGCGAGAGAGTTGGGTGACGTCGGATTTTGAGGAAAACTGCCGCGAAGATGAAGTCGCCGGCGAAGAAGGCAGCTTTCGGAGGAGAAGACAGCTGAAAGAGGGCTAGGGTTTAGGGTTAGTGAAGAGGCGACGGCTGAAAGAGGGTTAGGGTGTTTTTAATTTAGGGTTAGAGTTAGGATTAGGGCTTTGATACCATGTTAATATTCGGAGAGAAAAGAAATTATTGGAGAGTTATCCCCTCACTCTATAGTTTATTATTTATAGAGATGAATTAGTTACAAGTTAGTCTCACGGGTAATGTGGGACTAAACCAATCTAAACTAAGACTCTCTTCTAACAATAACAAACAAAAAAATTACTATCCTTGCACATGCTGGATGCTATCTAAATATTCCACAGTACCAGCAAACCAGTTAAGTGGTTCAAAAAGGACTCGTGTCAGCACAACTACTGGACAGAAAAAACCTCGCTGGTTTTTACATATTATTTAGAATATGTTTTATGTCACATTTCATGTTCATGTCTGTGTCCATGTCCTTGACCATGGTTCTTTGATTATGGCCTTTCTTCAAAAAGATTTAAGCTATGAAATAAAGATTTGAAAGGAAAATGGCTAAACATGTTTAGGTTCAAAGCAGCGGAATAGTATGATGACCCCATTATTTAAGCTGATCTATATAGCTGGTTGTTGTTGAACACTGTTAAGTAATGAAAAAAGTACTTGAATACTAAATCTTTGAGTAATGTACATAACTCCACTAGAACCAGAGAATGTATCATAACTTGGACAGCTGGGTATCACCATTAAAAACACTGTGCTACAGTGTGACCACAACTTTAGAAAGTTCATAACAAATTCAACTGAAAATGTCTGCAAATATTCTGCATGGATGGGAGGAAGAAGAATGGTCATGTTGGGCACTGCATCAAATGGCTAATGACGTTAAAAGTTATATGAACTGCAAGTTGTTAACTGGAATTTCAAAATAAATTGTGGAAATTAAAAATTTCAATTTCTAACTGATGCCAGCTTTACCTTCAATTTTAACTCTGCGATACTGGTTTCATCACAGACATTCAAGACCAAAGCCTGCAGTTAAGGAAAGAGAGAACCAAAATCATGCTTCATGGCAGAACTACCAAATGCATGAAATAAATCTTCACATATGGACAATTTTCTCTTCAGACATTTTTAGATGGACCAATATTTACCATTTTACATTTGACCAATTTATCAATATCATTAATATCATTACATGTTTCAAATTGCAGAAATAATTCTAAAGAATGAAGCATATATCTTACTGAAATTACCTATATGACATATCACAGGATACCAACTGATTCGACAATAAGCTATTTTAATATTTTCAAGGTTTATTTGCATTTAAAGACCCCAAGAACTCACCCTATTTTTAATTTTGATACCATAAAGGGTTTTCCCCCAAAGTTCAACAAAATTTAACTTTGATACCCCCCATTTAATTGATATAATTGAAGGAGACTAAAAAGAGCAACTTTGACAATTAGTATAATTGAGGGGCTACAAAGAACAATTTAGTTATTAGTATAGAGACTAAGGGCAGGCCAGCTCACGAAGCTCCCGCAATGCATGGGGTCCATGAAAGGGTCGGGCAACTTTGGGTCTGCTCTATGTAGCCTCACCTTGCATACTTACAAGAGGCCGTTTCCACGACTCGAACTCACGACCTCCAGGTCACATGGCGACAACTCGTACCGTGGCGCCAAGGCTCTAATCGAAGAAGACTATAAAGAGCAACTGTGGCAACTTTGGACCAGGAACATCATAGAAGCAAGGGAGAAATCTATCATCACAATGCCTGAGGCAGTGAGGAGGGCTATTAAAGAAAAGATTTCGGACAAAGAAAAGTGTTCCTAGCAAGTGAAATGGAGGTTTATGTCCTAAAATACAAGCAAAGCTACAAGAGGTGGAATCAAAATTGCTCTTTGTCTCTCTTTGTAGTCTCCTTCAATTAAACTAATTGCCAGGGGTATCCAAGTTAGATTTTGTTGAAAATTTAGGGGATTTGTTTGGTAGAAAAAACTTGGGGGGTACTAAAGTTAAAATTGGGGAAAACTTGGGGTATTAAGAGCAAATAACCCTACTTTCATCTGAGTTCACTGTTGTATTTTGTATAGCTTTATATGCATAAGAGGCTGAATAAACCATTTTGCAGAAAAAGAAGTGTAAACCTCAAACCCATTAGGAAAAGTTGATTTCTGGACACTTCTGTTCTCCACTGGCCCTTGTGCAGTCTTCTCCAAACCAGCAGCTGCAGCAAATACTTCAACACAGTAAGCAAAAGATAAAAATGAATGAATGAACACAAAAGATATATCTTAAAGGTATTATGAACGTACAGAGTAAGTATATCTATACACCTAATTGAGGAAACAAACTCTAAAGTTAAGATTCCTCTTGAACAGGAAAAGTTTAATTAATTTAGGGAATATGTAATCTAAGAGAACCACAATTATATTTGAGGAGTTATAATGCTACATAACCAAATAGAATCAAACTGGCACTACAAAACTTATACGACAATGTACTAAAACAAACCCCCTAGAATGACGCATAGCGGATTCTTACAGATTTGGCTATTAAAGTGACATTTATTTAATTATTACTTAATTAACTAACTTTAACTTCCAAACTTTTATTGGCTTTGTTTTCATTTTTTAGAGTGGTGAAGTAATAAAAATTGGTTGTTCAGGATCATCACCATTCTTATGCTCTGCATCTTAATGGGTATAATTAGATTTTGTATGAATTTTCTTTTGCTTATGAGATTTTTCTATTTCCTTAAGTTTCTGTTTTCTGTTGGTCTTCACAAAAGAACAGAAGAACCTAACTGGCTTTGGAGCTTCGAGTGAATCTTCCATTATGTTGCCAAATGCTGGAGCTAGATAAGTGATTAATTCAGTAATTATTTTCAATATTCTTCATATTTTGCATGATATTCATTTTGGAGATTAGTTTCATTACCTCTTTTATTACATTGGTTATGATTTTAAACATGCACTTGGGCATTTAATAAGATTGCCATTTCCCCCTTTCTAGTTAATAGAAGGTACTTTATTGTTCAAAAAATGATATCATAATTTATTATTATTATTATCTTGAGTTATTTCTGAGTAGAAACCTTTGCATAAGGGCTTGATTTTGAATTCATGAAACTATCTATTACTGCTTTTTCCTTGAAATAATACCGCAGTTGCTTTGATTTACATAATCCACCTCTTGCATAGCCATTTACAGAATTTCATAACCTATAACAGTTTCTTTTACTTGGTTTTATTACAAAATATTATCATCATCT